AAAAAAAAAAAAAGAAAAGTGATCAATATTCACACCTTAGATGGCTGCTCACGAACCTTTGAGCCCCCAGTCACTTCTAAACCAAGTAGATTGTGGAAGATTTTTTGTGAACTCTAAGCCATTTAACTTTGGTGTAGAAGAGACAATCTTAAGGGATCAGTGAAGTTAGTTTACAAAGGAGGACTTATTGCTATCAGATTTGGGGGTGTCCAGCCTTCTAAGGTGTCACTTACTTTTAGCAATGGTATCATTTTACAATCTCCCATGGTTTTGGCTTCCTCGTGTGGCCAATGGAACAACAGCAAGTGCCTCTGAGCTGGGTTGTCAGAGAGGTTTAATTGCATTCGTAATCCTCCAACTTCGGTCGACCACACCCAAACCATGCCAGGGTCACAGAGTGGATCCCAACTCATAGCGACCCTAAAGGACAGAGTAGAAGGCTGCTTGAGAAGTCCAATCAGGGAGCAGACAGCCCTGTGTTTGTTCTGCAGAGCGGCTGGTGGGTTTGATCTGCATCAAACGGCTCTTTCTTTCATATTCCAAAACCTAAACTCACGTCAAGGTGCCCAGTCAAGGTGCCCATTCAGACTCGTAGAACTGCACGTGTGGGGAGCAGGTAGTAGAACGCCCCGTCTTTCCCCTTCGGAGCGGCGGTGGTTTGGAACTGCAGGCCGTAGGACGCGTAACCAGCGCGCCACTAAGGCTCCGTTTCATACGCAGGGATTTATTCAAGGACACCGCGGCTAGGGCAGCACCCGTGGGCTTCGGGCTCACGTCAACCCAAGATGATCAGAAGAGGGCGGCGACGACTGTCAACACGGCAGACACAGGAAACAGCAACAACGAACCCTTTATTTGACTGTTTTCTCCTGGATTTTAGCGAGGTGCAGCTGCATCGTAAAGGAGTCACACCCTAAGGAAGCTACCTTACACCTAGATCCCACACACGGAGCGCACGCGGCAAGGCCCGGAGGCGCCGCTGCCAGGGCGACCGGGCGCGGGGCGTCAGTGGGACCCTCCTCCTCGCGCGGTTCCCACCTGACTCCCCGGGGCGCTGCCAATGGCTGTCCGCCCCAGCGGGTCGCACTAGGCTCACTCCATCCGCGGAGCCAATGGCTGGAGACTTCGTCTCCCGAGTCACGCAGGCTTGCGACCGTGCAAACCAATCAGAGCGAGGCGAGGGCGGGGTGAAAGGCGTCTAACCACTGGGGCGGCCGGCTCCTAGGCATTGGGCACCACCTCCCCGCTTGAGTCGGGTTTCGAGGCGCGGCGCCGGGCACGCGCAGGTGGCTGCAGTCCGCAGGGGTCGCCGGCAGTCCAGGTACCGTGGCTTGGGCAGCGGGAGAGGGAAGCCCGCGGGCCTGGGCACCGCCGCGCGACGCGCAGCGCGAGGGTGGGCACCGAGGGCGATGGGTGTGGGCGGCGCCCGGGAGCGGGGGGCTTGCGTGGGAGAGGGACGGGCTGAGACACTGCGGGGGGCCCGCCGCGCCGGCGCCCCGACTTCACGCTGCGGGGCGGGAGCCCGTCTCTCGGAAGCTCCCAGAGCAGGGAGTGAGCGCGACGCACCTTTTACACCGGTGGCCTCTGCGGGCTGGGGAGGGGCCGGGCGGGGGGACACTGCCGGCCGGACGCGCGAAGCTGCGAGTGGCCGGAGCGGGACGCGGCCGGGGCGGTCCCCTGGAGGGAATCCCTAGCCCCTGGGCTTAGCGGTGAACGGCGCTCGGCGGTGCTTCCTTCGTGGGTGGAAGGCCAAGTCTTGCCGGTTAATTAAACCGGTATTGAACCGGAGTCGGGCGCAGTTGAACGTTTGAGCGTAAATTAACATGCCTAGTCTGAACTATGTAATTGGAGTTGGCCAGGGAACTAACTATTGGATAGTCAGAATCTAGAGTTTGGGGGAGAGGCTTTGAAATAGAGGTGAAAAGAGATCAGCATGCTTTTTAAAACAAAAGTAGTTAAAATCTAGGGTAGTCAAACGAAGGAGGGGCGGGAGCATATACAGATAGGAAACTTTCTAATCCTACTTCTCCAGTCTTCTCAAAAATGTAATAGACATACTGAATCAGAAAGTGCTAAGTCCTGTCGCCTAGTTGAGTCTTTGGACCTGAAGCATTTACCCGAATTGTGCCTTTCCACCTTCCCTCAAACGGTGCTTTACCTCTCTTTAATCTGGTCGCCTTCCCCATGTGCTTCTGGCCTCAATTTAGATAATACCCACTAGGATTTCTTGGTCCTCTGTGTTCTAATAAAATCCACTGCCATTGTGTCAGTTCTCAGAGACGTGTTCTCATAATATTCTCTTTATTGCTTTATTACATATTTTGGTGTGGGTACTTGTAATCTCACCAGATGGCATGAAGTCCAGGGTGAGGCTAGCAGCTAGCCCAGTAACTGCACTAGTAATCACAAAGTTACTATATATCAGAGTGAACACATATGAAGTTATTGTCCTGTCTTCCACATTGAGTTGTGTCCCCGCAAATGGATTTGTAACCCTTCTCCCAAACAGATTGAACAAAGAGGTTTTCAAAGAAACAAACATGGGGAAGATTGCCCAGGGCAAAGAAGAGTAAGGACCTTCCCCTGCACATCCTACAGAGAGAAAGCTAGTCTTTTCTTTTTTCTTTTTTTTAAGCTCTTCTTTCCTTAGCACCTGCACTCTGAATCCTAGCCACCTTGACTCAGAGAATAAATTTCTATTTTTAAAAGCCACCTTTCTTGTGGTGTTTCTGTTACAGCAACATTAGAGAACTATGGTTTAATTTGATCCTCAGCTGGCGGGGTGTGTGCTAGGAAATACTTAATATGTGCGAGTTCTTTTGGAATTACTAGAGGCTGGAAGAGTTAGTAAAATTAAAGATTATCTTGAGACTCTTAGTAGAAGTATAGATGTCAAAGGCAGTTCAAGTGAGGGTTCAGAAGGAAGTTTGGAGAACTGTAAAATCTGTTGTCTTAGAGAATTTATATATGACATTAGCAACAAAATGTTGCTGGAAATGAGGACTTCTGTTGATGCTTCTTGGCCTTCCCTACCACAATATTTCTGTTGGAGCAGCACTAGATCACCCTTTCAGAACTTGGAAGGCATAGAATGCTCATCTACATTTTCTGCCTCTCTTACTATGTGTTGCCATCTCATGGGGGCCTGTGTAACGCCATGAATCTAGCGAAGAAAGTCTCATCCCATCAATGTGAGCAGTAGAAATGTCATCGGATAGGTTTCGTCATGACTCATAGTGACACGATGTGCTATAAACACTGCCCAGCCCTGCACAATTTTCACAACTTAAATATTTTAGTCATTGTTGTAGCCACTTTGTCAGTCCATCTCGTTGAAGGTCTTTGTTTTTTCAAGTGACCCTCTACTTTATCAATCCAACCATTGTTAAGAGAATAGTGCAGGATCAGGCACTGTTTTGTACAAGGTTGCTTTGAGTTGGAACCTATTCAATAACTCCTAACAACATAACAATAACTACTTTCCCAGAGTCAGATGTCCTTCTCTAGGGACTGGTCTCTCAACTGGCCTCCCCATGCCCAGTACATGAAATCGAGGCTTGCCATCTTCTCTTCCCTAGTGTGTTCTGGCTATCCCCTCCTCCAGGATATTTGATTGTTCACTTGTCAGTCCACGGTGCTTGCAGTATTCTTCAACAGCACTGTCATTCAAATGCATCAGTTCTTCTCCTGTTTCCTTACTCATTACCCAACTTTCACATGCATGTGAAGTGATTGAAAACACCATGGTTTGGTTCAGGCACATCTTAGTCTTCAAACACTTTAAAGAAGTCTTGTGCAGCAAATCATCCCAATGCAATATATTGTTTGTTTCCTTGACTGCTACTGCCATGTATGTTGATTATAGGTCCATGCAAAGTGAAATCTCAGATAATAGTGATGTTGTGTATTGATCCAGTTGTGAGGGTTTTTGTTTGCTTTTACAATGAGTTATATTAGGTGTGTTCCATTAGTTGTATCAAAATCCTTATCTCAAAAGTATCTTTATTTTCACTTCATTTAATGGCTTCCATTACATAAAACATGTAGCTTTAACAAAAAATTCAAAACAAAATGAAGTTACCCACTTACTGTAATAATTTGTGTGCTTTATTATTCATATTAATTATTATAGTATAGCATGAAGTATGACTCACTTGTCAAGTGTAGGACTTAGGGTAGGTTGCTTAGTCTGGCTTCAACATAGTTTTACATCTATAAACTGAGAATATAAAAGTACCTCTTTGCTCACGAAGTTGTGATGATTAATGTTAATCTCTAGCTAGCTTGTAATATTTTTGTAATACAATCCCTTGCATGCCTCACCAAAAAACTCTCATTGCCATCGTCAGTTCTGACCAATAACAACCCTATGGAACAGAAAAGAACTACCCTTTAGGTTTCTCAGACTATAACTCTTTACTGGAGTAGAGAGCCTCATATTTCTTCCATGGAGTGGCTGGTGATTTTGAACTGCTGACCTTGTGGTTAGCGGTCCAGTGCATAAACCACTATGCCACCAAGGCTTCCTCCTCCTTGTTCCTAGCACATAGTGCCCAATAATTGTTAACATCTTGTCGATAATATGTGCCTGGTCTAATGTTAGGTACTTTCCACGCTTTATTTAGAATCATTGGAAGAGTTATTATGATGTGCATTTACGGATGATAAAACTGCAGCTCAGAAAAGTAACAACTCGTTCATTATCACACGATTGGTAAGTGATTGCTAGATTTGGTAAAAGGTCATAAAAGCACTTATTGGAGCAGTTTTTTTGTTTTTTGTTTGTAATTTAGGAGCTCAGGGACGATACCTTGGAGAGAGTGCAGATACACATTGCACATGGCTGGGAATTAAGCAGGTAGTGGCTTTCTCCTTTGATTAAGACACGGGTTGATTCAAAGAAAGAAATAGGGTGGTGATTGTGGGAGAGAATAGAGGTTAGGGAAACTTTTCTTAAGAAAGGACACACGGGACAGACATGTGTAGGGAAAGACAATAATGAGAAAGGATGAGTGATGAGCAGTATCTTGATGAGGTAAGCTCGGGACATGGAAAAACTGGTCAGTTGTAGAGGAGAGATACATGAGCAAAGAAATCATTTGAGGCACATGATGTAAAACTATCACCTCTGTGGTAAGTCACCTTAGAATAAGTAAGACAAAAGAATAAGGATCCAAAGTCAATCCAGAGACCTGAAGAAGGTAGCCAAGCTTCCCGTTATCCTCTCTCAAGAAGAGGCTGAGGGGTAAGTTAGAGGATAAAGATGCATTTTAAGTGCTAATAATTTAAGGTGACCAGACATCCCGCTTTTGGCAGGACAGTCCTGATTTTTAACAATTTTTCCTGCGTCCCTCGGCGTTTTTAAAAGTCCCTATTTTTGGAAAGAATGCACGACAAGCTAGGGTATACGGTTTTCGGCTGCCATGTGGCTATTTCACCAGGATGTGAGTTTTATCAGCGGTGTCCAGCTTTTGTCCCGCTTTACCAGTGTTAAAATCTGGTCACCTTATAATAATTCTACTGAAATCTTTTTTTCTCTTTTCTTAAGGATTAGTCTACCATAATCCATAAATACAGGAGTAAACATTTTTAGAAATATCTTCTTTATGCTTTTCTTTTTTTAATTTGGTGAGTGTTCAGTTTACTGTCACTAAAACATGGCCAGTTTAAAAAAAAATTTTTTTTTAAGTGATACTCTAAGCTCACTATTGAGTTGATTCCTACTCTTGACCCCAATAGGACAGGGTAAACTGCCCCTGTAAGTTTCTGTGATTACAACTCTTATATTTTTCCCCTCCCTCTCCCACACTTGTTAATCCTTGATCAATTATGTATTACTATTATTATTTCATATCTTTTTTTTTTATAATAGGTACTTCTTTTGTTTTTTAAATCATTTTATTTGTGCGAAGCACATTTGTACATATGTTGCCATCATCATCATTTTCAAAACATTTTCTTTCTACTTGAGTCCTTGGTTTTGACTCATTCCCTTCCTTCCCCACTCCTTCCTTCCTCCCTCATGATAATTTAAAAAAAATTTTTTTTTCATGTCTTACACCAACCTCTGTCTCCCTTCATTCACTTTTCTGTTATTCGTCCCCCTGGGAGAGGGTTATATGTTGATTATTGTGATCCGTTCTCCCTTTCTCCCCCCACCTTCCCCTTCCCCTCCTGGAATCACTACTCTCATTAGTGATGCTGAGGGGTTTTAATCTGTCCTGGATTCACTGTGTTTTGAGCTCTTAATCTGTACCAGTGTACATGCTCTGGTTCAGCTGGGTTCGTAAGGTAGAATTGGGGTCATAATAGTGGTGGGGAGGAAGCATTAAAGAACTAGAGGAAAGTTGTATGCTTCGTCAGTGCTATAATGCATCCTGACTGTCTGGTCTCTTTTGACCCTTTTGTGGGAGGATGTCCAATTGTCTACAGATGGGCTTTGGGTCTCCACTCTACCATCCCCCTCATTCACATTGATAAAAAACGATTTTTTATTCTGGGTCTTTGATACCTGATACTTGATCCCATCGACACCTCATGATCGCACAGGTTGGGGTGCTGCTTCCATGTGGGCTTTGTTGCTTCTCAGATAGTTGACCACTTGTTTATCTTCAAGCCTTTAAGACTCCAGATGCTATAGCTTGTCTCCCTTCACCCATATTTCTGTTAATCATCTCCGGGGTGGGGATATCCAACCTTGTGATAGGTTTCCCCTTTCTCCCCCCTTGCCCCACCCCCCACTCTCCTCCTACCCTAATGATATCACTGCTCCCACTACAGTTCCTGAGGGTTTTATCTGTCCTGATTTCCATGTTTTGAGAGCTCTTATCTGTGCCAATGTGTTGTGCTCTACTCTAGTCAGATTTGAACGGTAAAACTGGGTCATTATAGTGGGAGGGAGGAAGCATTCAGGAATTAGAGGAATGATGAGTGTTTTCTCGGTGCTATACTGCACCCTAGTTGAAGCATCACTTTCTTGTAATCCTTTTGTGGGGGGGTGTCCAATTGTCTACAGTTGGGTTTTGGATCTTTTGACCTGATATCTGATTCTGTCACACCTCATGATCACACAGGCTGGTGTGCTTCTTCCATGTGGGCTTATTTGCTTCTCTTCTAGACGGCTGCTTGTTTAATTTCAAGGCTTTAAGACCCCAGATGCTGTATCTTTTAATAGCCGGGCATATATCCTCTTTCTTCACAACATTTATGCCCCCATTTTGTCTTCTGCGATCATGTCGGGAAGGGGCGTGTCAAACAATACCAGGTTGCATATGAGTGGAGCTAGCAAGCTGGGTGGTTGTGTGAACACATCTCCACGAGCAGTAGCGCTTACAGCATGGCTGACCTACTGACTGAAGCGCAGATTGCAGAGTTCAAGGAAGCTTTTTCCCTCTTTGACAAGGATGGTGACAGAACTATAATAACAAAGGAATTGAGACCGTAATGAAGTCTCTTGGGCAGAATCCCACAGAAGCAGAATTATAAGACGTGATTCATGAAGTAGATGTTGATGGTAATGGCACAATTGACTTCCCGGAATTCCTGACAATGAAGGCAAGAAAAATGAAGGACAGAGACAGTGAAGAGGAAATGAGAGAAGCATTCCATGTGCTTGGTAAGGATGGCAATGCTGTATATTAACGCAGCAGAACTTCGTCACGTGACGGCAAACCGTGGAGAGAGGTAACAGATGAAGAGGTTGATGAAATGATCAGGGAAGCAGATAATGATGGTGATGATCAAGTAAACTATGAAGAGTTTGTACAAGTGAAGACATTGTACAGTATGTGTTAAACTTCTTGTACAAAATTGTCTATTTGCCTTTTCTTTGTAACTTATCTGTAAAAGGTTTTGCCCAACTGTCAAAATAATATGCATATATAGTAATTAGGACTTCATGCATCCATGTTCTCTTCCCTTATCTTACTGTCATTGTCCTGAAACCTTATTTTAGAAAACTAATCAAGTAACATGTTGCATGTAGCGTACTCTGGATATAGCTAAGCCCTTCTGAACATCTAAGATGGAGTTGGTCAAACTGGTTAGTCCTTTTTTTCAGTAGTTGTCTTTAGGAACCGTCAGCATGTGGTTGTTGAAGTGTGGAGTTGTAACTCCGTGTGGACTGTGGACAGTCAACTACATATACTTAAATTTGTGCTTTGCAAAACCGGTGTATGATCCAGGTACTTGGACACTATGTTTTTTTGTGCTGCTGGTCCTGTACCAGAAACATTTTCTTTTATTGTTACTTGCTTTTTAAACTGTTTAGCCACTTAAAGAAAATCTGCTTTGCCTCAAATCCATTCCAAGTTGTATATTTGTTTTCCAATTTAAAAAATAATAATTTAACCCCCCCCCCCAAAAAAAAAAAAGAATGCTGGGTTATTAGAACAAAGTTGTGTTTAGGGAGGCCTTGAGTAGAGGCCCAAAGTACATCTGCTATCTTAATATTTAACATGTAAGTATATGTACATTGACTTCTATCCCTTTCATTATAAATTAATATATTTATATATATACATGCCTATAGCTATACCTCTATAAATAGCTTTTGTCTCCTACTTCTTTCCTCTATTTCATTTCACCTTCCTCCTGTCCCACTATCATGCTCACCCTCCGTTCAGCTTTCAGTAATTCCTCTCAGATACATAGCAATTGATTAAACCCCACTAAGTATTATACGCTCTCCTTGCCATCAGTTTTAGATCTCTTGCTCTTTTGTCCTTGAGTTTGTTGGCTCCCTGCTCCTTCTCCCTGCCCCCTCTGCTCCCATGCCCCACTGGGACCACCAGTCCCATTGTTTTCTCAGGATTGTGTGTGTCCTGCCCATCTTTTGTAGATAGACATAGAATGAAAGAAAAGGCAACTAAAACACTGGTACATAGTTCTAGGTCTGTCTGCTGACCCTTATGAGTGTTTTCCAATCTGGTCTGATGAGGTGCCAAACCCTGCCCGCTGAGTCAGAAGTTGTCTAATACATCTTTATATGTTGTACATGCATTTCCTCATTCTTGCAAAACATTGTTTATGGGAAGACCTGCCCTAATTTAACTCTTCACTTATTGACAAGCTTGCTTTTTAATCTTTTGTTTTATTTCCCTTCATGCAATTTTGAATAATATTTCTACAGTTTTAGCACACCTCTTTCTACACTTAGTCACAAAATTACTGGCTCAAAGGGTTATTTATTTCTCACTGAATATTACCCCTTCCCACCCCCCACCCCTCCCTGCAATGTTATAGAATTTATACCCTGACCAACAATGCTGGGTGCTGGGCATGGTTAAAGGTTTGCTACTCAGGTTGCCCTTGCTATCGTTTGACATTTTGCCCTACTGTGGTGGCTCCTGTGTTGTAATGCTCAAGGCTATGTCACTGGTATTTCAAATGCCAACAAGAGGTTTCAGTGGAGATAATAAGCTGTCCACTTCAAAGGAATTAGCCACTGAAAACCTGATGGCTAGTATCGTAACATTGTCAATTACTGGAAATCTATTGAATAGAAGAACAATGGTGAGGGTGCTGCAGGGTGGACTGGTGGCTCCATTCTGTGGTGCATTGGGTTGAATGAGTCGGAACTGACTGGATGACACCTACAACAGCTAAGGGTTTTTGTTTGTTTTTTTAAAAGAGGCCTGGTTTAGGTTGCAGCTCATTTGAATAAAATTTGAGTTTCTCCTTGTTTTTCCGTGAAGGTTCTGTCATTTTGGAGGGTTGAGTTTTCCATCCTTTTATCTCTAAAACATACTTTGTCGCCTTTTGTCATAAGTTCTTTGGCATATTTTTCCAGCTTGCCATATGATCTTTGATTTTGATTATGGTTCTTTTTACTCCCAGGAATGAATATTCAATTCTTCTGTAGTCAAGGGTGCCAGGCTTTTCCTTCATAGATTCATTTGCCTGTAATTGACATTGAAAAAAATCCCAATTACTGTTCATTGAAATGGGAAGTTTTACCATGGAGAGCACACTTAAAAGTATCTTTAAAAATAATTTGAAATTTTTTATCCACTGTTGTTCTTTTAGATAATGCTTTTAAAAGTCATATGTGCCTTTTGAATCAATATCTAGAAATAGAGGGTTAAAACATCTAGAATTTGTTTTGTTTTGTTTTGCTCACATTTGAAAACTAAGAACTTGGTAAGTAATTGCTGCTGTTTTAAAAAATTATCAGAAGCTGCTCTTCTTTTAATTCTTGGAATTTTATTTTTAAAAGCTTATCTACTCATTTGTTTTCACAGACTCTTAAAGCTGTCTGCAAAGATTTAGAAAATGGCAGCAAATGAGAGTGTCGGCATCTTTAGTTCCGCATCGCTGGCTGTAGAGTATGTGGACTCCCTTTTACCCGAGAATCCTCTGCAAGAACGATTTATGAATGCTTGGAACTATATGTTGAACAATTACACAAAGTTTCAGATTGCAACATGGGGTTCTCTTATAGTCCATGAGGCTTTGTATTTCTCCCTCTCTTTGCCTGGGTTTTTGTTTCAATTTATACCTTACATGAAGAAGTACAAAATTCAAAAGGTGAGTATAATGAACTAGAGATGGAATATTATTGTTCAGTATGTTTAAAATGAATAAAACTTTGTTTTGAGAGACTCTAGGTCAGGGCTGTCCAGTATATAATGTGAGCCACATACATAATTTAAAATTTTTGAATAGTATACATAAAGTTTTAAAAAATGAGGTAAAATTCATTGTAATAAATGTTATTTAATGCGGCAGTTGTAAAGTATTTCAATAGATGATTAAAAATTATAAAACAAAACAAATATTTAATGATTGTTTTCCTATTAAGTCTTTGAAACCCAGGGTGTATTTTACCCTTCTAGCTAGCTACTGGACTGTAATTCAGATCATTGAACAGCACACTTTTAACACCGTTGATAGTATCTCAAAAATTGAGTGTAGAGTGGACACATTTTTTATCTTGGATTCATAAATTTTAATTTTTAACCTACCTAGAAGGCAAAGAATGGGGATCTGTGGGTATTAATAGGGCCACTTTGCATTCCTTACTGTCCTGACAAAACTGTTGATAAGAAAACCGTGGCTATGGCTTTTTGAAGTCGCGTTTTCCTCCTAAATGTATTGTGAGTACTTGTGCTGCATTTGTCTCATCCCAAATAAGGTCTTGATGCTTGTTTTAGGTGTTTGATTCTGAGAACATACAATGTATGACGTGCAAAACAAATCAGTATTCAGGGAAGGTTTCATGAGCAACTCACGACATTGATTCTCACTTTTCTCATTTGGACCCAGATCTCGGCCTTCATCATCCATAGGCAATGGCTTTCCCACCTTTGGGAACCATTTTCTTCCAGCTAAAGAGTTTATAATCCAGTCACAGGATATGAATAAAAATGCCCTTTCTGCGATGAATGCTATTAAATGACTAGAAGTGTGTTTTACTTATGATAGCTTCTAATATTAGTGTGGGCAACGCTCCTTCCAAAAAAATAGTGAGGGAGGGCCCAACTATAATCATACCATAACACATGCTTTCTTTTCTGACATTTACAGTAAATGTGAATGATTTGGGGATTGCAAAAATTGGAGTTATTTGTTTTTTAGTACTTCCTGGTTTGTTTGCAAATCTTTATGCTTGGGTTTGTATGTTAATTTTCATCATCTTAAATTAAGTAGTGATGATAGTTGCCAAGAATATAGAAGAGAGATGAGAGTTGTTGTGATGCCTGGGAGTTAGAACATAGAATGTTTTGGAACAAAAGTAGTGCTCACAGACGTTAACATTAAGTTTCATGCTTTTTCTCCACAGGATAAGTCTGTGTCGTTGGAAAGCCAGTGGAAATGTTTTAAAGGGCTTCTCTTTAATCACTTTTGTATCCAGCTGCCTCTGATTTGTGGAACCTACTATTTCACAGAGTTCTTCAGTATTCCTTATGATTGGGAACGAATACCAAAATGGTATGAAAATAAAAATTTGATTTTCATACTCATAGTTTATTACCCAGTTAAATATAATCTGAAACAATTGATTACTGCAATAACTAGTTATAATGACATTAAACCAATAAGCAGTCAGGTTAACTTGACTCATCTAAAATTCACTGCTGTCAAATCTTTTCTGATTAATACTTCAATAGGACAGGCTAGAAATGCCCCTTTGGCTTCCAAGGTTGTATATTTTCATGGAAGCAGAAAGCCTCATCTTTCTCCCTCAGAGCTGCTGGTGGTTTCAAACTCCTGATCTTGGGGTTAGCTGCCTAGTGTGTAACCTACTATGGCACCAGAGCTACTTATCCGAACTTAGGGCAGCCCTGTGTACGTCAGAGTAAAATGGTGCTTTTAGTGGCTGAATCGTCAGAAATAGATTGCCAGGCCTTCTTTCCAGTGTGCTTTTAGGCAGACTTGAATGACCAACCTTTTGTTTAGCAGGATCGCTTTTTTAATGGTTTATACCAAGGACAATTAAAATATATATATACTGTTTACCTTTTACCTTTTTTAAAATCTAAACTTTGGAAGTAAATAAAATATACATAGGTAAAATACAACAAAAACTTAAAATATACCAATTTTTATATCTTTTATTCTAGTATAACATTTTATTGGAATGTGTTTTTAGCATCAGAAGTTTCTATAGAATCCTTTCCACTATATGAAAATACACATGCTTCTATTGAACATAAGAAAACTAGTATTAAAAATACTAAGGAAGATATTAACTACATTTCAAGTGTAAAATGAATGAAAGAAATAAGAGAATAATTTGTCAAGTGTACAAAGTGCTGCCCCTATAAACAAATATAATCTTAGTACAAATGTTCAAATAATTGTATTCAACTCTGAACCTGATACTACCAAAGTATAGAGATACAATTAGATAAATATATATCTTTCCAAGCAGTATATATATATTGAATATATAATAGTATTTCTGGATTTTTGTATATTTTAAATGATTGTAGAAATTTTCATTATATTTTAATTCCATTTTCCATGAACATTTTGAAATACCTTGTTTTTACATTATAACTTCATGGTTTGGTGTAACTGATTTCACATGTGAATTTTTGTCAAAATGAATTAAAAATGAAAATGTTTAATTTCCGCCCTTTAAGATATAACATGTAGCCATCTTGTTTCTAGTGGTTTTGATAATTAGTTGATCAATATATTCAATGGATGGGTATTTCATTTCATATAATGATTCCATAATCTTGAATAAGATTGCAGGCTGTTTATGTAAATATTATTTCATACTCATAATATTTTTACCTTCAAGGTATATGCTTTTGCTCAAATGCTTTTGTTGTGCTGTGATTGAGGATACTTGGCACTATTTCATGCATAGACTCTTACACCACAAAAGAATATATAAATATATTCATAAAGTTCACCATGAATTTCAGGTATGTTAGAGTTATGCTTAAAACTTTTTTAAATTAAGCACAAAATGTCATTTTTATTGTATGACCATGAAGTTTTTATGTCCTTCCCCTTTGGTTTGAATACTAAGAACTTAGCTCACATATACAGTCAGTTCTACAGATTATCTTTAGAATCTAAATTTCACTGTAAACTGAGAAGTTAAAAATGAAAAATTACATGAAACATTTCAACTTTCTTACATTTGTGGTCCAGCAGTCTTCTTACACAGTTGAACCCACCTGCCCATTTGATAGTAACCTCAGTGATGCCCGAGTCAAAGATGACTTAAAATAACACTTTAATGTTTAAGCTTATAAGGCAGTTAGCTACTAATATTTAACATTTTCACCACATTGCCGACTTGCACAAAAGTAATAAACTTTAGATTTTTTTTAAACTGCTTTGACTTGGCTTTGACAAATCAATGTCACTTTTCTTCATTGATCCTGATTACGTGATATACTGATGCTAAAGCATCCGTTTCCTGATAGAGTCAATTCAAAGGCAAAGATCAAAGTTACACTTCAGGCCAATTGTTCAATGAAAGGCTATATTTTATTTAAAATTACTGCTAAGAAATAGTATGATTTTGTAAAGTGATGTGTACCAGTGATACAGACTATATTAAGGAATTTTTATCGATTTGTTGTAGGCTCCATTTGGAATAGAGGCTGAATATGCACATCCTGCAGAAACCCTAATCCTTGGAGCTGGATTTTTTATTGGAATCCTGCTTTTATGTGATCATGTTTTTTTCCTTTGGGCATGGGTGGCTTTTCGTTTGACAGAAACTATTGATGTCCATAGGTGAGTTGTGGTTTCTAATCTGATGAAGTATCGTAAAATATCTTTGTTTTTCATTGTTACAAGATTATCCGTGAACTAATAGAAGTTAATTTGTTAATCTTTTTTTGTAATTGACTAATCATTGGATAAAAACTCAAGTAATATTTTTATAATGCAAAAGGGCTTTTACCTATTCTATGCTGTAACTGTTTTGTTCCTGGCTCTTTATTTATTTTCATTGTTTCCAACAGTTTTGTTAGCATAATCCACATATCATAAAATCAGTATTTTAACCACATCAAGAAGAGTGTTGCAGTCATCACCACATCAGTTTGAGAACATTTTCTTCATTCTTGTGCTCATTGTAATTAGCTCCCCATCTCCACACAACCTCCCTTTCCACCATATGCCCAAGAGACCATTAATCCAGTTACTATCTCTAGATTTGCCTCTCCTGGATTTCATATAAAGGAAAACATTTTTAAAAAACCAAAACAGGAATATTCAAGTAAAACAGATAAAAGCCTAAATTGAAAAGAAACCAGAAAATAATAAAATCAAGAACAAATTTAAATGGGTCATAAGGAAAATCAAATGGTAGAGTTCTAAATTTTAACCTAACTCCATCTGCAGCAATCCACTTTCCGATGTATTCTGCATGATAGCAAGGCTAGTCCACATCCCTGGTCCATAGTCAGAGGGGATTCATAAGGGGCTTAATCCACGTGTTTTTATTTGAAATTGAAACAACTTTAAAATGGGTCAAAAGGGAGATCAAATGTGATCATACATTTTGACCTAACTACATCTTCCGTAATCGACTTTACAATGCTGTCTGATAACAGGGCTATTCACATCCCTCAACTATAAGACCCCAGGTGCTATTCTTTCTGATCTCTGGACAGGATCTAGTTTCTTCACACTTTGCTGTCACACCCATATCTTCAGTGTTCTCTTTGTGAGGATGAGCAGTGAAGCAGTGCCATGTCATAAGAACTAATTGTTCTTAGTTTGGGGCTAGAATTAAGTGTAAGCCCAAAGTCCATTCATCTATATATGGCTTATATATGTTTGGTTCAGAGTGACATTTTGTGGAATAGATAGGCGATCAAGATCCCTTCGCACTAAATTATGGCACAGGGCAGAAGAGTTGATGTACCCCTGGGGGAGAGTTGTAAAAGTATATTGTTGCCCCTGCCAGGTGAAGGCAAACTGTTTCTGGTGGTCCTTCGAGACTGGTATTGAGAAGAAGGCATTAGCCAGATCAATAGCTGCATACCAAGTACCAAGAGAAGTATTAATTTAGAGACATCATAGTCATTTTATGTTAGGGAACATCATCAGTCATCCCCCTGGGACATCACTTCCACTGCCCTCAAGTCATTGTTGACTCATAGCAGCCCTAAAGGGTAGGGTGGGACTACCTTTGTGAGTCTTGCAGCCTGCAAATCTTTGCAGGAGTAGAAAGCCTCTGTGGAATTGGCTGGTGGTTTTGAACTGCTGACCTTTGTATACTGTTAGCATTTTTATGTTTTTGTTGTTAGGTGCCATCTAGTCAGTTATAACCCATAGCAACCAACCCTATGTACAACAGAAAGAAACACTGCACTACCCTGCACCGTCCTTAAAATGGTTCCTATTCGGGAGTCCATTGTTGCAGCCACTGTGTCAATCCATCTTGAAGGCCTCCCTCTTTAGCTGCCCCTCTACTTTACCAAACATGATGCCCTTCTCCAGGAACTGATCTGACAATATGTCCAAAGCATGTGAGACTTAGTCTTATCCTTGCCCCAAAGGAGCGCTCTGGCCTTTCTTCTTCCAAAACAGATTTGTTTGTCCTGTTAGCAATCCATGATGCTTTGAATATTCTCCAGGATCACAATTCAAATGCATCAGTTCTTCTGTCTGCCTTATTTAGTATCTAACTTTCACAATTCTTGAAAATTTACAGCTAAAGATTTCTTGTCTTTCATCCTTGAAGTATACGGTAGCCATAGGTCTTTTCTACTTATTTTCTTCCTTAATATGTTTTCCAGACTACTTGATGTTTTCTATGACTTTTTGTCTCTGGTAAATAAAATTAAGTAACTCAGGCAAAGTAAGAAAGCAATTTGGATTAGTTGGCATATAAATTATCAGCGGCAGTGTCACTTATTTGAGATGTATACATTTCCTTAATAATCTTTACCATTTTTATTTCAGTGGGTATGATATTCCTCTCAACCCTTTAAATTTCATCCCTTTCTACTGTGGTTCACGGCATCATGATTTTCACCACATGAACTTCAATGGAAACTATGCTTCAACTTTTACATGGTGGGATAAACTTTGTGGAACAGACTCTCAGTATAATGCCTACATGGGAAGGATGAAGAAATTGAAGAAAAAGGCTGAGTAAACCCTCTTGATGGCACACATTTTTTGAACTGAAATTGTTAGTAGTAGCTACCAATTGCTTCTTAAACAAGCATGTGTTGTGGCTGCTACCAGATAAAAAAGAACCTTAACAACTTTTAATTATCTTCCTTATGGCAACTGTTTCCACTCCACATACAAGTCTTGTTTATGTACAAATAAATAAATATATATTTAAGTCCTCTTTCTGATGGGAGATTTTAAATGCCATTTTGCTAACCTTACAAAAAAGTTTTAGATACTGAAAGAAGTATTAATTTATCATCCCCCCCCCCAAATGCCATAGATCTGAAGTTGAAATTGGTATTTAATCTTTAAAATGTGTAGTGCCTATTTCAGAAAGTTATGAATTATGGTGTTGAGCTTATATTGAATTTTAGACACTCTAGAATTTGCCTAAAAAAATCTAAATAAATATCATGAGTTGAACCTGATGAGTGGCCAAAGCTGCTGAATCTCCAAGAACAGCCACCCTTAGGACTTCGACTCCTGTCAAGAAGTACCCAGTTGATGGGGCTTCTCCTTTTCTGGAAGGAGTTCTCTTTGATCGCTGTATGATACTGCCATCTATAAATAGAAGCTTATCTGAATGAATGTAAGTGGGATACTTAGTCTAAAGCTTCTCGAGTACTAGGTGTTTTTTTTTTAATTGAGCTTTATTTCTGCTACTTACACTTTCATTTGTGTGTATCAAGTTTTCATTCTTAAATCTGTATTTTGAAATATCAATTGGCTTGCTGTATTTTCACTTTGTGCTATTGAAATAAATGTGATTTTTGTCTCATCTGGTTTCTGTTTTTGAGCATCATCTGTTACCTTTCATTTGATTAATATAAGAACATGTGGAAGAAGGAATTTTCTTTTAAAGTATTTCATTTGCTCAACATTTCCTGGAAGTTTCAACATGAAATTTTCTTACCTTTTATTGGAAATTCTGTTGACCTGATAAAATGGAAATCTTTTTTTTCCATAGAAAAATTCAGGTTTTACTAAGTGGGGACAACAGAACAGCTAGAGAATGGAGCGGCGATGTCCTCAGGGAATGCTGAAGGTGGACTTCGGGGCTAGGGCATGGTACCCCAACAGACTGGACTGGAAAACACTCCTAAAGGCCAACAAATGATCCTTGAACTAACTACAAGCTTTTCTTTCTTGTTTTTGTTTGTTTGTTTATCACTGGTTTGTTGTTATTTTGTTGTATGTTGTTGCTTGGTTTTGCTCTGTTTTGTTTTTGTGCATGTTATTATCTCCGCAGGTCTGTCTAAATAAGATAGGCTGGATGGACAATCTGGAGAAGAAAACAATGGGACCAACAGTTCCGGGGGCACATGGGAGATGGGTAGGTGGGGGCAAAAGGAAGTGGTGTTGATAAGCCCAGGTACAAGGGAACAACAAGTGATCCAAATTGGTGTTGAGGTGGGTGTGGGAGGCCTGGTAGGGCATAATCAAGGGTAATGTAACAAAGAGGAACTGCTGAAACCCTGGTGGGGACTGAGCATGGTAGTGGGACCGGAGGAAAGTCAAGGGAAATAAAGGAAAGAGATGGGAGGAAAAGGGAATTTATAGAGATCTAGATAAAGATATGTAAATATATATATATGAGGATAGGAAAATAGATCTATGTATATATTTATAGGATAAGTATTAAGGTAGCAGAAGGACATTGGGCCTCTACTCAAGTACTCCCTCAATGCAAGAATATTTTGTTGTATTAAATTGGCATTCTATGACGCTCACCTTCCCGACACAACCGCTGAAGACAAAGTGGTGAATAAGCAAATGTGAAGAAAGCTGACGGTGCCCAGCTATCAAAAGATATAGCGTCTGGGGTCTTAAAGGCCAGAAGGTAAACAAGCGGCCATCTAGCTCAGAAGCAACAAAGCCCACCAGCCTGTGTGATCACGAGGTGTCGAAGGGATCAGGTATCAGGCATCATCAGAACAAAAAAATCTTAACCATAGTGAATGATGGGAGGAGTGCAGAGTGGCGATCCAAAGCCCATTTGTAGGCCACTGGAGATCCCCTTGCAGAGCCAGTCAGGGTGCGATGTAGCAACGATGAAACATACAACTTTCCTCTAGTTCTTAAGTGCTTCCTCCACCCCCCATTATCATCCAAATTCTACCTTGCAAGTCTGGCTGGACCAGAGGGTGTACACTGTTAACGGATGGGAACTGGAAGCACAGGGAATCCAGGGCGAATGATCCCTTCAGGACCACTGGTGTGAGTGGCGATGCTGGGAGCATAGCGGGCGAGTGGATTGGAAAGGGGGAACCGATTATAAGGATCTACATGTGACCTCCTCCCTGGGGGATGGAAAACAGAAAAGTGGGTGAAGAAGACGTCGGACAGGGCAAGATAGACAAAATAAAAAATTATCAAGGGTTCATGGGGGGGTGGGGAGGACCTGATGCTAGGGGCTTAAGTGGAGAGCAAATGTTTTGAGAATGATGAGAGTAATGAATGTACAAATGTGTTTTACACGATGTAAGTATGGACTGTGATAAGAGTTGTATGAGCCCCTAATAAAATGATTTTTTTTAATTTAGGTTTTTCTATACAGATGACAGAATTGAGCTTAACCATTGTTAGGTCTGATTCTTCTCAAGTAGAGAGTCAATGAAAAAGAGGAAGATGTTCAATGAGATGAGTAGACACAGTGGCTGTAAAATGGGACAACACTTGTCAGGGTGGCACCACCGAACCAGACTTTTGTTTCGTTGTCCCTGTGAGTCAAAATAGACTTGATGGCACAAGAGGTCAAGAATTCATCATTCTATTAAAAAAAATGGTCTCAAAGTTTATTCCAATGTTGTGGTGACCTTGGGTATAAGAGAACTGCTTCATTGAATGTCCAGTGTCTGGTTTTTGAAAGCAGATGGTCAAGCCTTTGTTGCAAGCATCTCTGGATGGACTCCAACCATTAGGTGAACAGCCAAGTGCTCAGTTGCTTGTGATTATTAGGGTTTTATAATAACCATTTTTCATAGTTTTTCTTTTTTGAAATTATAGTGAATGGCTGTGTTAGGGTTCTTTAGAGAAACAAAACCAGGACACTTAATGATTTTATATATATCATATAAATTCGTGTTGAGCTGAGTTTTCAGCACATTTTTATGCAGTTTTTGTGGTAAAATTAGGTGCCTTGGCTGATATTCGGGTTGGCTTACCTGAGTATATATCATTTTATTTATATATATATATATATATATATACACACACACACACATATATGTATGTGTATATATATGTATGTATGTATATATATATATCACAAACAGCTAATTAGTCCACAGAGCAGTACAGAGGGCTCAGTTCGACTCACAAACGCTGTTGGGTGCAAGTCTAGGAAGCAGACAGCTGAGTCTTCCATAAAGCAATATAAGTAGTCTGGCCATAGCCAGTAAACAGCAGGGCAGGTCACCAACAGTCAGCCAGATGGCAGGGTCTAATAGTCCCCAGCTCAAGTACACACACCAGCAGTATGGTGAAGCAGGTCTCAATGGAACCTCAAACTATAGCAACACGGTCCACGGGTTGGGTGTCCCACAAGTAGTGTAGCTCGTAAGTTGCAGAGAACTAGCTAAGGCAGCCACACCCTGATCTGATAATCAGAGAGCAAGAGACAGAAAGGCGAGGCTCACTGAGTCATTTATTTCTTTGCCCTTCAATTAAACTTCAACCTTATTAATAATCTCACGTGTCTATTGGCCAGGTTGGCACAATAAACCTACATATCACAATGGGTTCAGATAAGGAGTTCAGAAAGTTTTAACATTTTGCATATTAAATATTTTCCTCTCATAACTGTATATGTATGTGTATGCTATTCTCAAATTATGGGGTACACTTAAAATGCTATTTAGTTGTGGAATATCTTAAGGAATTATTTTATCTTCTACCTTTCATTACTTGATCACGGATATATGGACATCTGGAGTGGTACAAACTTAACGAGCTTGTAATTGAAAGATTGATGTTCAAGTCCAATCAGAATTCTCAGAAGAAAGACCTACCAGTCTTCTTCCAAAACTATCACTTTGTGAAAACCCTATAGTGCACAGTTCTACTTTAATACCGGGGGTCACTATAAGTTGAAGTTAGTTACAGCATTTGCCAATGGTATTTAGCACTCACAGAGTCTTGGTGGGCTTGTAGCTTAAGACTGCTAACTGTGAGGTCAGCTATTCAAGCCCATTTGGGAGAAAGATAAAGCTGAGCCAGGGGTCACCTAGAATGCAGTAGCACTATCTGTTAAATACAGGCAAGGTTATAATAGGATTTACTGGTGACGGGCACTTTGACATTTAAAGTTAACCCGAGCTAAGCTTCTGAAAATGTTTATGGTCTCAGAAACCATACATATAGTCACTATGAATTATAATTGACTCAATGGCAGTGGTGTTTTTTGTTTATTAGCATTTAGGTTAAGAGTGTCACCTGTTGGAAATGGTGCTCAACATTTTCTAACAACTTGGTACATTCGCATGCACTCTTCTCAAACTAGTTATCACTGAGCACTTACTGTACCCTGAATCCTATTGCAGACTTTCAATGCATGTTCTCTTTTAATCTGTGTGCTCTGTATGCTGTTCTGAATAGCATGGGAGAAATTATAAGTTATTCAAAATAACAGGACTGGTTGTTTTAGCTATCTATTTTGAAATATCAGTCTCTTCACTACTCTGGGAGACCCATGTCATCTAGAAAAATCTCAGTTAATACTTCTCAAATGTTTTCCTTGGTTTATTTTCAATTTTAGGAAGTGGGCTCTTTGAAAAGGATGTCTCTGTACCAGTGGTCACCTAGAATTCAGTAACACTCTGTTAAATATCGGAAAGATAATAAAATTTACTGGCTATACTTTTTCCATGTAAAGCTAACCTAAATTAGGCGCCTGACCAGTTTATCTCTTTGCACCTGACAATTGAGAAGTAAGAAAACTATTAAAAACTGGCATACAAAATATATGTGATTCTTATTCTAGAAAACAGTAAAGATTCTTCTTTAAATTATTTATTTGTATTGTATTAAATAGTTTCAAAGCTTACAGTTAATTCCATAATTAAAAGACTATGCTTGGAGGTACGACAATTAACTAGTATGTTATTTACATATCCTAACTAAAGACACTTAGGCCTTTGGACAAAATTGATCTGTGAGACTTACAAAGAATCTCATTCCCACTGCCAATTTTTGTTGTTAGATGCCATTGGTTCTGACTCGTAGTGACCTTGTGTACAGCAGTATGAAACATTGCCCAGTCCTGTGCCATCCTCGCAATTGTTCTTGTGTTTGAGTCCATTGTAGCAGCCACTGTGTCAGTCCATCTCCTTGAGGGCCTTCTTTTTTGCTGCTCTCCACTTCAGCATACATGATGTTCTTCTCCAAGGGCCTGGACTCCTGACATTCTCAAAGTATATGAAATGAAATCTCACCATTTTATCCTCCAAGGAGGATCTTGCTGTACATCTTCCAAGGTTAGTTTGTTCTTTTGGTAGTCCATGGTACTTTAAATATTCTCCAGCACCACACTTCAAAATTTTTCTTAGATCTTCCTTATTCAATGTCCAACTTTCACATGCATATGAGGCAATTGAAAATACAATGGCTTGGGTTGAGCGCACCTTCATCGAAGTAATCTTGCTTACAACACTCTAAAGAGAGAAATATTGTGCGAAAGATTTACTCAATGAAATGCATCATTTGATATCTCGAAAGCTGTTTCTCTGCTTCCATAAACATTGGTTGTAGGTCCAAGCAAGACAAACTCCTTGACAACTT